GTGACAGATGGGCACCATATGCTGAGGCAGGAGGAGGTGAATTAAGGGTTAGTCTTTATGTTATAACACAGAAAGAATACTAATGAACTCAGACACTAGAATAATGATCAATATATAATCTCCGTGCTGAGAAAAAGGGGAACTAAGAATGTCAAAGCACCTGGACAACCACTCTCCTATATTCAGTTAATGTGTACAGCATTATAAAGGTGCGGCAGAAACTTAAATTACTAAGAATGGAAACAATTAATCAAAAAGTGAAGACTAGTTGGGTGTTGTCCTGTGTACCAGGAGGTTGCAGGTTTGATTCCTGGTCAATGGCACATGCCCAGGTTGCAAACTCAATCCCCAGTAGGGGGCATGTGGGAGGCAGCCCATGGATGTTGTGCTCTCACACAGATGTTTCTCTCTCTCTTCATTTCTCTCTAAAAATCAATACAGTCGGCCCTCATTTATCGCGGTTAATCAGTTCAAGACTCTACCACGGTAAATGAATTTCCATGAAGTAGGATTCTTTATTTATACACAGTCATCCCTCGCCACTTCATGCTTCAACTTTCACGGTTAGAGTGAAAATAAGTGAAGACCATCATATTTCTTTTCTTTAATTTTTACTAACTGATTAATTTTAGAGACAGAGGAAAGAACGGGAAGGGCGGGGAGAAAGAGAAACATCAATTTGTTGTTCCACTCATTCATTGGTTGTTTCTTATATGTGCCTTGACTGGAAATCAAACCCACAACCTTAGTGTATTGGAATGATGCTTTAACCAAAGGAGCAAGGTTAGGGCAAGACTATTATATTTCAAGGTAACTTTTTACTGCCTAAAATCCCTTGTCTCTCTAGAATAGGCACTATATATAATTGATACATCACTTTTTTAATTGACTGAGAATTATATATACAGTAGTAGCTTTAACTAGTAAAAGTCAAATTTGGTTTACCTCAAAAATAAATTCAAAAACTTAGATTCAAAACATTTCATTTAAACTATGTAGCAGGCACTGTGCTGTCACTCATAAGATTTGTTTTTTTTTAATCCTCACCCAAGGACATTTCTCGATATTTTGTTCAGAAAGAGTGGGAAGGAGAGAGAGAGAAAGAGAAACGTCAATGTGAAAGGGACACATCAAGTGGCCGCCACCCGCACGACCCAATCAGGGCCGGGGACAAACTGCAACCGAGGTACGTGCCCTTGGCGGGAACTGAACCCAGGTCTCTCTGGACCGCAGACCAACACTCTAACCGCTGAGCCAAACCGGCCACAGCACTCATAGGATTTTGATGATCTCCTCTCCAAAGTACTAAGTTTACAAAGTCACATGTCCTAATTTATGAGGAATTTTAACATGCCTGCCTATACTTTAACTCAGTAATTGCTTTTCTATAAAATTATTCTACAAAAATAATCCAAAATACAGAAAAGGGTTTACATTCAAGTTATTTCTATGATAAAAAACTGGAAACAATCTAATGCTTAACTCCTCACCAAAATAATGTTTACATATATTAATTTTTCTCAACAAAAACCCATTCCTCACCCAGTAGTCATCTCTATAACTAGTACCACATTCTCTCAGTTGCTCAATCCATGATCCATGACATCATCCTTTACTCTTCGTTCTCTCACATCCCGCATCCAAGATATCATATTCTACTTTCAAAATATAGACCAAATACACTATTCATCTCTTTCAGTGCTACCACTGAACAGCAAGCCATCATCTGTTGCCTGTATTATTACAATAATCTCTTAACTGGTCTCCTTACTTCCACTTTACCACCACAACCACCTACCCTAAACACAGTGTATTCTTTCTATAGTAGCTATTTCCTTTTAAATCCAAAATTTTTACCATATTCTATAATGCTCCAGATACTTCCCTGAATTCTATCTCCAACCTTTGTATATTCTAGCTATACTGGCTTCCTTGCAGTTCTAAGACCACGTTAAACATGTTGCTATCTCTAGGCCTTTGCACTGCTATTCCATTTATAGGAAATGCTCTTTCCCTAGACATCTGCATGGCTCACTCCTTCATTTCTTAGGTTTTTACTTAAATGCCACTTTTTCAGATAGAACTTCCCTGAGAGCCCTAGCTAAAGTAGGATGTCCAGTCATCTTTCATCCCTTTATTCTGCCCAATTTCATCAAGATACTTATTACCCACTAATATATAGCATATATATTTGTTTACTGTCATTTCTAGCTCACAAAAGAGTAAGCTCCATGAGGACTGAGGGTTTAGTTAGCTCACCACTATATTCCCAACACACCTAGAATAATGCCTAACACACATTAAAAACAGGAAACATCTGTCAAATGCAGAGTGAATGTTAAAATTCTTAAACAATGTACAACAATTATTATTTAAGAGATGTTTCGAATAGCATAGAAAAAGCTAAGATTATAATATAAAGTGAAAAATTAGAATAAAATATCTTATACGGAGTTATCAACACAGGGGAAAAAAAAAAAAAAGATAAGCCTTGATCAGGTAGCTCAGTTGGTCAGCGTGTCATCCCAATACACAAAGGTTTTGGGTTCAATACCCAGTCAGAGCACATACAGGAATCAATCAATGAATGCATAAATAAATAGAACAACAAATCGATGTTTCTCTTTCTCTCACATCGTCTGTCTCTAAAATCAATCGATCAATAAAAATATTTCTAAAGAAAAAAAAGATAAAAGAAACCATACAAAACATGATTATAGTAGTTGCCTCTAAAAATCAATCAAGATTACAAGAAATTTTCATTTTCTTCTTTTACCTATTTTAACTTTGAAAATAATAATTCAGTGAGTGGTAAAGGTGTACTTTTATAATTAGAAAAAGTTATACTTTCAGAGTTAGGCCTAACAAAAAAAACTTAGTACTAAAAAAATATATAACCTAAGCAAACTCTGGCCCAGAAAAGGTTTGTGCCAGAAAAGAAGTAAAAGTTTGCCCTGGCCAGTTCAGCTCATCAGTTGGAGCGCTGGCCCATGGACAGAAAGGTCCCGGGTTAGGTTCCTGGTCAAGGACACACGCTTCGGTTGCGGGCTCGATCCCTGGCCCTGGTCGGGATCATGGAGGAGGCAACCAATCAATGTGAAACTCCCTCCCTCCCTTTCTCCCTTCCACTCTATCTAAAAATCAATGGAAAAATATCCTTGGGTGATTAACACCCTCCCCCCAAATTAAAGGTTATTTTTCAATATAAATTGATAACTACTAGCATAACCAGATGATTTATCATCCAAACTGAGTCCTTTTTAAGAGTTCAAAAAGTTAGGTGTTTAACTGATCTACAATAGCTGTAAAATGAGAGTTGTTTTGAGCAAACCAGAAAAAATAATCATCTTACCCTTACCTACGTGATAAAATTCTAACTCTTTAGGACAATATTGAAATCTCTAAAAACTACCTATCTCGTCCCTACTTCTGCTACAAAACCTAACATACATGCCACACTGGACTTTCATTAATCATGATTCTAAACCTTTACTTACGGAAAAGCCTTTTCTTCCCTTCCATGTCTAGAGTTCTATCCCTTCCAGCTTAGTGTCACTTCCACAAGAAAGTGACTTCTTCCTTTACCATATGATAGCAAGTTCTGATTGCTAATCAAAGGTTCTTAACCTGGGGTTATAAATGGCCTGATGCACATCTGTGAAATTCTAAAATTATATGTAAATACTAGGCATATGCTCTGTTTTGAGGAGAAAGCATTATGACAGTTTTCAAATTCTAAAAAAATCATAACCCAAAAGAATAAGAATCATTGCTTTATCATATAACCTTAAGATTACAATTATTTATTTACTCATCTCCCTCACTACACTGTGAGGTTCTCTAAAGCACCCTGTCATATTCCTAGGAATAAACAGTATAATAAACTAAAATATTTAAAAGATTTGTCTGATTCCCCAATTCTCCCTCAAATTCTCTGAGGCTCACTGTAAGACAGCAGAAATCTGCTTCTAATTTTATTACCTTCATCCTCTAACTTTTAAATCCCTTCATTTATGAATCAGAATCAATCATTTAATGTAAAAAATAAAATCTCCTCCCTTTAAAACCAATGTTCTCTTCCAAACTTTGTATATTTTTTACATGTAATCAGAGGAAAAAAAGTAAAATTTTAAGTTAAAAAAAGTAAAAAAATTTTTTTTCTTTATTGCTGTGAGAGGGAGAGGGAGAGAGAGAAACATCAATGAGAAAGAACATCAACTGGCCGCCTCCTACATGCCCCCACACAGGGAGAATCTGGCCTACAACTTGGGCATGTGCCCTGACTGGGAATCGAACTGGCGTCTTCTTGGTGCATGGGTCCGCGCTCAACCACTGAGCTACCCCAGCCAGGCAAGAAAAGTAAAAATTTTTTAATTTTAAGAAAAGATATCCAAGCCCTGGCCAGTCTGGCTCAGCAGTTAGAGTGTCAGCCATTGGACCAAAGGGTCTCAGATTTGATTCCCAGTCAAGGGCACATACCTGGGTTGTAGGTTTGATTTCCAGCCCCGGTCAGGGTCGTGCAGGAGGCAACCAATTGATATGCCTCTCTCACACATCAATGTCTATCTGTCTCTCTCTCCCCCCTGCCACCTCCCTTCCACTCTATCGAGAAAAACCAAGGGAAAGATATCCTCAGGTGAGAATTACCAAAAAAAAAAAAAGGAATAAAAAGATATTCAAAAAGAAAATTATAATTCATAGTGTCCTAAAAGAAATCACAATACGAGACCAAAGGAGGATATTTATGAAAGGAAAAAAAGAAGACAGGTATACAAGCCAATCTATCTTGACATGTTTGTTTCATCACCACTTTTTAAATTAAGATGACAGGGAAAAGGCCTATTCATCTTATTATATACATTTAATTCTATTTGGGATTTTATTGCACCTTTTGCCAAAAAATCTATCACATGCCTATCAAACAAACATTGCCTGTTTGTTTCAAATGCTCATGTGCAGAAACAGATTCGCAAAGTGACAAACAACCAGGAGGTACTCACCGTGCTGTACACTGCCGAGACAGTGGGAGTGAAGATTCGATCCTCCAGAGGCTGCTGCACAGGTCCTCTAGGAATTCTAGAAGAGTTAGTTAAGGATAAGAGAACTCAAAAATGGATTGCTTTAGCAGTAAGAAAATTACCACCACAAAATTCTGTCAAGGACCCAAGTTTTGTCACCTAGTTAGTGGGTTTATACACTTAATTCTCCACAGAAACTAGAAAACTAAGTATTTCAAATTTCCTAATGTAATTAGGTCAATCTCTTCCAAAGTGATTCCCATGAAAAACATTCCATGGAAACTCAAAACAAATAAAATTACACACATCTCCAAATGTTAGGCCTATGATGAAAATCTACCACCTTTCCTTTCTAGAGAAAGACTAAGGAAATATAAGCAGGGTATTCAGAAAGATAAGACTAATTTATCAACCTGGAAATTACTGACAAAGGCCCAGTATGTTCCACTAACTACACAAGAATAGAGAATACAATTGTTTCCTTGTGTTACTGTTTTAGCTGCTACTTTCCCTCATATATCCACCCACCATTTTTTAAAAAGGGCTCTCCAGCATAGTTTAGCTTAAAATGTTTCAGAATGTTATCAAAACAGTCTACTAAAAGACAAAAAAAAAGCTATCGTTTTATTCAGGTTCAAAAATTTTTAAATGTAGTAAGTTCTTCTACATGGTAAGGTGATATTTTTACAAACTCTTTAAGAATGACAACCAAAAGACTGGCACCAAAAGATTAACAGCAATTATCCTGCATGGTAGACTTATATAACTGTATATGTGCTTTTTCTACAATATAAATGATTTACATAATGTCAATGTATTTTTAAAAACAATGACTATATAAATGTAGTAAACCGAAAATGAAAGAGAATTCTTCCTTCACTGTAACAAATATTTACTACTTCTCACATTATGTTCCTTTCTAATTCAATCAAACGGTTTAAAAGACAAGAGTGACACCTGCAAATAACAATTTTATATGAATGACAAGTTGCAGAAATCTGAAAGAATCATTAGAAGGAAAATTCTTTATATCTAAGTAGCAACAGTTTCCTGAGGTGAGAGAGAAAAAAACAAAACAAACAAACAAAAAAATTATAAACCTATGCTTTAGTCATTTAAAATTAGTAACACTATACCAGTCCCTAGAAAGTTCTCTAAACTAGCCACCTTGGACAACAGTTCGATGCATTGCCATCATCCCCTATGCATGAAGAACTGATTTAAAATGCCACACTGAGCACTGGCCAGTTTGGCTCAGAAGTTAGAATATCCGCCCTCGGACCAATGAGTCTCGGGTTCAATTCCAGTCAAGGGTACGTACCTTGGTTGGGGTTTATCCACAGCCCTGGTCAGGTTGTGCAGGAGGCAACCAGTCAATGTGTCCCTGTCACGATGATGTTTCTGTCTCTCTCCCTCCTTTCCACTCTATCTGAAGATAAATGGAAAAATATCCTCAGGTGAGGATTAAAATATATATATATATATATTAAAAAAAAAAAAAAAATGCGACACTGAGAAAAAACAGAGCTGCCCAGTCAGTGTGGCTCAGTGGATTGAGCACTGTCCCATGGACTGAGAGGTGCCAGTTACATTCCTGGTACATCCCCAGGTTGCAGGCTCAATCCCCAGTAGAAGGCGCGCAGGAGGCAACTGATTGATGCTTCTGTCTCACATCGATGTTTCTATCTCTCTCTTTAAAAAATCAATAAAAAACATTAAAAAAAAAAAAGAAATAGCAAAGCTAAAACATGTCATTAAAAAACTGCTTCATCCAAACTATATATATGTTGGCAATGTAGAAACATAAGTTTAACAGTTTTAGGACACAAGTCCTTCATATTAGCTTGTCAGTTCTTTCAGAAAAAAGATTACTCCTGGTAGAAATAAAACTGTCTTTCAACCACAGTTCTGCATTGTAGTCACATAATAGTACAAAATATGAGGCCATTCTTTCTTCTGCAAAGCCAACTGCTATTGCTTTTTCTAGCTAAGGCTAATTCTCACTGTGTGAGAATAAGTTCTCAAATGAGTTATCAGTACTATGCCTCAAGAGATGAACCGCACCACTTAAAGGAAGGTTAGAGCCCCTGATTACTATTTGTTACTTTACTGGCAAACAATATTACTATAATTGCAAGATTTCTAAAAAGACAATCATATATTTGGTCAATAGTCCAGTTAACAAACATTCTTTCTCCTAGGCAACAGATAAATAATATTGATTTCATTTATTTCACTCTCTATAAACTACCAACAGAATAGTATGGGGATTAATACATGAACTAACTGTTTCTTTAAAGAACATCTAAATAAAAATAATTATTTTTAAATAAAAATACAGTCCTATAAAAACAGAAGTCAGAAAATCTGAATCTAAAGCATACAGCACAACGAACCAGGTTGTCTTCACTGAATCATTTAACAGTACTCGGTTAAACTGATGCTCAGCAGGATGAAGTAACTTACCCAAGTAAGTAGCCAGGTCAGGTCTCTCTGTACTCTAAAGATCAGGCTCTTTCTATTACATCAGTGTGTACAAGGGCAGAATGCTTTATACAATATGTTAAAAAAAAAGAATATCACAGGCTGATCAAAATATGGTTGTCCCTATGTATAGGACAGAACTAAATCGGTTTTTTAACAAAACTTAAAAAAATTTTTTTTTAATTTTAGAGAGAAACAGAAACATTGACGAGAAAGAACACCAATTGGCCACCTCCTGTATGCCCCACACTGGGGATTGGGCCCACAACCTGGGCATGTGCCCTGACCAGGAATCGAACCTGCAACCTCTTGGTACGTGGGTCAATGCTTAACCACTGAGCCACACCAGCTGGGCCTAAATCAGTATTTCATCTCATAAGAGTCAACAGTGTCACTCTAAAACTGGAAAGTCCCAAAGTCTTGGCCCAGCGTGAGTCATCTTCCCAATGGCAAATGACTACTCACTATTATAGACGGGGGAGGTAATGCAAGAAACCAAAGGAGCTTATTTTACAGAGCAATTTTTCTCCTTTACTTCTTAGTGGTTATAGTTGCACATTTTCATAAATATGATAAAATTGTACAATTGAATAGTATAAATTATATGGAATTTGAATTATCTATCGATTTAAAAATAACATTTAATAATCTGCAACTAGGCTAGTAATCACCCTTGCCATGAAAAAAGCCCAGATAAATCAGTATGAGATAGGCACTGCTAGGCATTTTCTCCAAAGACAGGTAAATTCAAAGAAATGACATGTATGTAAAGTTCTTAGACTACAGCATACTTCCTCCTAATTCTGCCAACTAGTAAGTTTATTACCAGCTTTCACCAACCCCTGTAACTCCAGTATACATCACTGGATGCTTATTTCTCCTTGAGCTCAGGGTAACAAGTTCTAATTTAATCAATGAGCAATGTAGTATGCATGTGAAGGGCTCCAAAACACTTTTTTTTTTTTTTATCTTCACCGGAGGATATTTTTTTCCCACTGATTTTCAGAGAGTGGAAGGGAAGGAGGGAGGGAAGGAGAGGAAAAAGAGAGAGGAGGGAGACAGAGAGAGAGAAACATCTATGTAAGAGGCACACATCAATTGGTTGCCTACCACACATGCCCCAACCAGGGCAGGGGATCAAACTTGCAGCCCAGGTATAGGCCCTTGACTGGGAATCAAACACTAGACCCTTCGGTGACAAGTCAATGCTCTAACCACTCAGCAAAACTGGCCTGGGCGTTGAGCACATTTTATTTCTAGACTGGAATACAGTAGTATACCACGTGGCACTTCTGTTAAAATTGCTGATTTATATAATTAGGAAATATAAGCAAAATAATTAATAAGATTAGACAGATGGTATGGAATAAATGAATTAAGACTCTAACTAGAAATATAAATGCAAAGAAAAGTCTAATACTACACATTCTTTTTCTAATAAAAATTAACAAGACAAAGAAATTAAATAAAATTTGAAGGTTAAAGAGAATTAAAGCACAATAGACTCTAAATTGATTATTAAACTACTCACTACATACTCTCCACATTAAATGTCAATTAGGCAGATACAATATTTCAGCAACCAAATTTCATCAGAGAAATCCAGGCTATAAGGGGATTATATAATGATCTGAATGTTTCCTACTTATACCATGAAGGAAAGAGGGAATCAGTAACTTTTTTAAGCATAGATGTTTACTGAAATCTCATGAATGAAGAACTCTCCTCAGGAGAATTTTGGATCAGTGACAATCATAACTGACCTTGGGTTTAACTCGAAGTCAGTACCTCCTCATCAACAGGTAGATTTTGACAAGTTAGAAAGCAAGTAGTGAAAGTCAAGCGAAATCTTCCTCCAGTTTGCTGAAACACTTATGGCTCCATTTACAAGTCCCAGCTGAATGTTCCTAAACTTTGCCCCACTCCACTACAAGAAAAGCTACTATCCCAATGCTCAGCATAAGCAATATTCTTAAAGTGATAGCCTCAAGTTAACCACTACCTCACTGAAAGGGAAAACGAAAGTACAAACCCACTACACAAATACTGCTTTAGAGAAGACACAGGCAACTAATTTCAGGAGATGAAAACAAATGAACGAAGAAGATTTTTTTTGGCATTGTGTCTTATTTAAGCAGACACAGTAATATCAGTCAATTTATGCCTTCTCCACTTTCTCCTCCTTTCAACATAGTTTTTGATAATAAGAAAGGAAATTGTGTAACATAAAAATAAGGGCAAAATTTCAAAACTAGACCCTATTTCACAAAGGTGCTATACAGGATTTCTCAAAAGAAACACTATTTAAAATACAGATGCTTTGGAAATAGCTATAATCACTTGAACATTGTTAGTTCTGACTCCTAAGGGATATGTCTTACAAAAATTAATTCAAAATGCATCAATGACCTCAATAGAGGCTAATACTATAAATTTTTAGAAGAGGACAAATTTGCATAACCTCAAACTTGGCAATAGATTATTAGATATGATACCTAAAGCAAGAGCAACAACAAAGATAAACTGTACTTCAACAAAATTAAAAACATTGTGCATCAAAAGATAGCATCAAGA